CCGCCCCGCTGGCACCCCAGAGAGCTGTGCAGCCCAGGAGCAGGGTGACAGGAGACAGGGCGCAGGTACCCACTCCTCTCACTTTCTGTTTATTTAGCAGCTGAAGGTAACCTCCCCTGCCTGAGGTTGCAGCTCTGTTTACTCGGAGCAGTTCTACGTTTTGGCTAAGATCAGTCACTTTTCAAAACAAAGCAGCCTTTTGAAAGAGGCTATAAAATTAGAAGTGCTTCTGTATAACTGGGGCAGGACAGGCCAAGGTCTGCTCCTTCCAAATTCATATGGTCATGTTGTCCTTTCTGAGACAGTCAGGATGACCCTTGGCAGAGGGAAAGGACGCTGTTACTGCTGACTCAGTTCTATGGCAAACTACTAAAAATCCCACCAGTGTGAAAGGAATCAAACACACAACCAGACAACAGAGGGCTTAGCCACTGTTAGGAAAGATGTGGGGACAATGCTCTTAGATACGGCGTGAGTGAGCGATGGCTCAGAATGGTGTGTGACTAACATACCTCCATTTGTGGGTGTTTTTGTTCTTTTTAATTGGTTTGTCTATAATCATGCACATACATTGTATTTTTATATAATGAATTACTATTAGTCGATGCCTCTTATCACCGCATCTTTTCCAGTCCCCATTGAATCTTTCCTATTCTTCACAGACCCCTCTGCCCACCAACCTCTGCTATCCAAATGATTCCCCCTTCTTTTTTGGCCCCTTCTCCCCTTCCCTGTCTCCTTTTGAACATTTATAGGTGTCTTGCTCAGTTACCCTCATATTTTCACAGTAGTGCTCTTATGTAGTATTTGTCCTATATGTCTGAGTTATTTCACTCAGCATAATGCTCTCCTATAAGTTGTTTACTGCTGTCGAGTCGTAGGCCACTCATAGCGACCCTGTGAACCAAAGTCCTTAACACTTGTGTGACTTTCATCCTTTCTCCGGGTTCATAGGGCTTCCAGAGGCAAGCTATTTCAGAAGTGGATGCCACTCCTGCTTCCAAGCTTGTTTTAATCTGGGAGCTCCACCAAACACTGTCCACCATGGGTAACCACTCTCACATTTGACACATCAGTGTCACAGCGTTCGGCATCACAGCCACCATGAGTTACCTCTGTATAGCAATGCACAGACCAGTGCTATACCACCTAGAAGAATGTTTGACAGAAAAACAATTTGAACCAGGCCTGAGATAAACCAGTAGAAAATTTAAAACACAACAAAACAACCAGTAGAAAATAAAAAAAGAGAAAAAAAAGAGGCCCCTCAACGACGTGCATTGATGGGCGTGATGGAGAGCATGACAGAGAGGATGGGGACGTGTGGGATAGAGCAAGGCTCTGACCTGCTGCTCACAGGGCCATGTGCCAGGTGGCTGACTCCGTGACACCTAACAACAAACAGTAACAAAGCCATCTACTTGTGCTGTCTCCACAGCAACCCTAGATTACCCAGACTCCAGGATGACACACAGTTCAGAAGGGCAGTTCAGTATAAGCAAACCACGCTGTCGACTATTATGCAGCAAACACCAGCTTTGTTATGGACTGTGAAGTTGAAGCTGACCATCCAGTGGGTTTCCAGAGGCAGTCAATAACCCGAGAGGGGACTGCCCATCTTTCTTCCTCAGAGCAGCTGGTGGATTCGAAGGGTTGACAGCAGGACATCTTACCACTGAGCCACCAGAGAAATGGAATTTCTTAATGAAGCTTTTTGTTGTTAGGTGACATTGAGTATGACTCTGAGAGACCCTCTGAAAAACAGATCTGAACCCTGTCCTGTCCTGTGCCACCCTTATAATCTCTGACATATTTGAGTCCATTGCTGCAGTTTCTGTCAATGCATCTCATTGGGGCTCTTCCTCTCTTGCTGGCCCTTAATTTTCCAAGTATGATGTCTCTAAGGAATAGCTTCTCCTTGCAACATGGGAAAGACTGCTGTTAGAGACCTCTCCAGGGTACTGAAGAGCAATGATGTCACTCTGGAGACTAAGGTGTGCCTGATACAGGCCATGGTCTTTGCAATCACTTGCCATGCATCAGAGAGCTGGACAACGACTAGGGAGGATAGGAGAATTGATACCTTTGAGCTGTGGTGCTGGAGAAGAGTATTGAATGTACCATGGACTACTAAGAAAATGAACAGGTTCATCCTGGAAAGGGTTAAAGCAGGTTGCTCCTTGGAGGCAAGGATTCTGGGGCTTCGTCTGACATACTTTGGACATGTTGCAAGGAGGGACTGATCCTTGAAGAAGGACATCATGCTTGGGAGAGTGGAGGGACAGCACAGAAGGGGAAGACCCTCTACAAGGTGGATTGATTCAGTGACTGGGATAATCAGGATGGGTGTGTTGGAGATGGTGAGACTGGCCCAGGATAGAGCAGGATTTAGGGCTGTTATACATAGGGTCGCTATGAGTTGTGACTCAACAGCACATAACAACAACAGCAACATGTCCAAAGTACATGAGATGAAGCTCCGCCATCTTTGCCTCCCAGGAGCATTCTGGCTGCACTTTCTCCAGTGAAGCTCATTTATCAGATATCATTTCTCTGTACGGCAATCCCAGTTGTCTTGATGTGGCTTAATCTCAAACAAGGGGAAGACAATCCTCCCATTCACCTTGGACTTTATGTTCTCAACTCCACCCCCACTGTCTGCTACAGTTACCATCTCCTGTGTTTCCCTGGTGAGGCAGAGGCAAACATCTAAGGCACTCAAGCACCTGCTGCTTCTTCACAGGTGTCTGGTCCACTGGGACACATCTATAACATGTTGGATGGAATGAAATGTTCCAGGTGTTTTCATCTGGAACTTGAAATAACTTCTTATCTAGAAGAATACATCTTTTTGGTTACAACCTACTGTGTTTTCAGTAACTACAAACCAAAAGCTTAGACTCAGGATACGTGTTGCCTTCTTCACAAGGAACATCTGAACACAGGCAGCACTAGGGTGATTCTAACAACCCAATTCCTGGCCATCCCTCCCTCTGCTACCCTGAGTTATCCTCATGCCAGTTGCTTCATCACTTATTGATGGTCTCCATCATGCCAAGTCCTTATGCCAACATGTGAAAGGAGCAAGGTGGGGACAAGGTCTTCTTTTCTAAGGCTCTGGCCGTCATTCAAATGGGAAACCTCTTTCTAGCTCACTAGCTAGAACTAGATGTTATTCCCGGACTGTTGCTGGGGTAGGAGTATGAGACCATCATCTAGACCAATCTGTACCCAGTGAAGCAGGCACCGTAACCCACTTCTCCTGAAAGCCAGGCAAGCAAGAGATGGCTGAGAGTGAACAATTGATGAGCAACAAGCTTATCCTGTGCCCATTGGGAGGCTTGTGTAATAACACAAACTATCATATTTCTCTTTAGGAAAAGAAAATATGAACTCAGAATATACACACACACAAACAAAAAGGTATTTGGGGGAACCGCTTGCAGTGTTATTCCAAGTACATATGCCATTATCAAGGCATATATTTTTTTTCATTTGGAATGATGCTGGAAATAACCCTTTTTTTTTAATAAATAGTGTGTGTGTGTGTGTGTGTGTGTGTGTGTGTGTACCATCAAATTGGATCTGACTGGTACAGGAGGAGATTGACCTGCCTTCTCCAGCAGAGCATCTGGTGGATTCAAACTTCACATCTCTGGGGTTTCAGTGCAATTTCTTGCCTCTAGGCCACCAGAGCTCCCTAAGCCTGTCTTTCTTGAACTCCCTGGAAGGTCCTTCAGAATCCTCTAGATGAAGCAGTTAGACGTGATTAACAGAGAACCAGGGAAGTCAGGGAACTGTGCTAATTTGTTGTGTTGAGGAAGCTCTGGTGGCCTCGTGGCAAGAAGCTGCACTGCAATCCCAGAGGTGCATGGTTTGAATCCCAGATGCTCTGCTGGAGAAGGAGGGGCAATCCCCTCCTGTACCAGTCAGATACGATTTGATGGTACACACAGACAAAAACAACAAAATAAACTTGGGGGGGGGGGGTGGGAAGTTTGTTGTGTTGGTCCTTTGTTCTTCTGCCCTAAGCAGGGATGGTGTGGCCTGCTGCCCACAGAACGTAAGCCACTAGGCCAAGGTCACAGTATCTGAACAAAGTGTTCCCAGATCTTCCCACGCAAGCTGGGACCAAGCTCAACCAGCCAGTGCGGGCGCTGCGGTTGTGCCCTGGGGAGCTGGAGACCTTAGACAGATGAAGAACCGGTGAAGAGGGTGTGGAGGATGAGAATGCCCAGAGCCCAAAGATCTTCCAAAGCTGGGTGAGTGCTGTAGTAGCAGGATCTGACAGACCCCAATACCACGGGGAGCAAACAGGATCCTTTCAGGAGCCTTTGAGAGCTCTGGGGGCTTAGTGGTAAGGAGTTGCGCTGGCAACGCGAAGGCAAGCAGTTCGAAGCCAGTAGTAGCTGCAACCGGGGCAAAAGCTAGGGAATCGCCTCCTGTGACTTTTACAGCCTCTGAAAACTCAGTAGAGGGTCAGCTCTGATGATGCCTAAAACCAACACGGGATACTCAGTCCATTCTTTCCAGACCCCAAGGGGATCTGATTGTCACAGGTGTAGGTACATCAGTGAGATCTGACTGTTGCCAACGTCAAGGGTCTAGGGATACTGGGTTCACCCCAAGCCCCTAGCAGGACCTGACCCCACTGCAGAAGCCAGGGTGCTGGACCCCTGTGGAGGGGGGAGGGCAGAGGGCTGTGGTCGATGGAGGGAGGTGGGGGGAGGGCAGTGAGTCGTGAGAGGTGGACGGAGGGTGTTGGTTGGTGGGCCCCGGGCGGAGTGTGGACAGCCGTGAGTGGTGGGCGGAGGGCAGGGGGCGGTGGGCGGAGGGCGGAGGGCGGACAGGCCGCGCCTCCTCGCCGGCCTCCGGCCACAGGCGTCGCTGTGCGCTGGCGCCGCCCGGGCTGGTTAGCGGGCAGCCGGCGCGCGCCGAGCCGGGGTTTCGGTTTCTGGGGCCCACTTCCGCCGTTCCACGTTGCACGGAGCATCGGTGCGATGTCCCGGGACAGCACGGGTCGCCGGGCGGAGGAGCGGGGCCGCGGCCGCGATGCGCACCGGGACCGGTCCCGCTCCCGCTCGCGGTCGCCGCTGTCGCCGGGGTCCCGCCGCAGCTCTGCGGCCGAGCGCAGGGAGACCCTGGATCGGCTGTGCCTGGACGACGATGACCCATCGGACGACGAGATGTTGGACCCCGCCAGCCTGGAGGAGGAGACCGATCACGGCCTGTGCCGCCAGATCCGCCATCAGTACCGGGAGCTCATCAACTCCGTCCAACGTAAGGGGCGCGCGCCCGGTGTCGCCGCGCGCCGCCCTCCGCCCGGTGACAGCCTCCTGCGGGCTGCGCCTGCGCAGTGCGCTCCCCACGTGCGGGCCCCGGGTCCCGGGAGCGGCCTTACGGGCCAGATCGGGCCCCATTGCCCCGTGGCCGAGCTGGAGGCCACGCCCACCCGGCCGCTTGTTTGAGCTGGGGCACTAAATCTGGGGGACAAGGACGCGGGGCGGCTCTTCTTTCTCTTGCATTCCAACCCCTTCTCCTCCCCACCCCCCACTCCTGGCCCGGGAATTGGCGGAAATGCAAACTTCTGGACCCCACCCCTGACCCAGCGGGTTTCAGCCTTTGGGCCGAGGTGCTTCAGGGGGTCTGAGAGTGTGATAAGATCCTTGCCAGTGTTGGAAGAACCCCTTGGGGAGCGCTCCCCGGAGGCCGTTTTTCGGGTTACCCAGGAATTCCTGCTCTAGTCCTTGCTGGGTCAGGCCCTCTTAATGTCCTTGGTGTTGCGAGCCTTTCTTTTCTCATGCCATTTTCCTTAAAAAGGTAAAGACACTTGAAGTGCTGTTGCAGGGGAAATGATTTTTATTAGTGTCTGTTAAGCGAATTTCACAGTTTGCCCATTTTTAAAATAGAAAACCGTGAGGACATACTGAATGCTGGGGACAAATTAACAGAGGTCCTTGAGGAAGCGGATACTCTGTTTAATGGAGGTAATTATTTTATGTGTATACAAACGGAAGGGTTTTGTTGTTACATGGTTTGGGATCATGATTCGTTTATGTAAGAGAGAAATCATTAGCCTCCCGAATTGAAGAAGAATTCCCATGTGATGGTGCCTTACAGATTTTGGAGGAGAGTCTTCTATAGTTCGCTAGTGCTGTCGACAGCAATACCACCGGGGGTAACTTCAGAAGTTTGTTCCTTACAGTCCTGGAGGTTAGAAGACTGGTTTCAGGGTGCCAGCCCTAGGGGAAGGCTTTCTCTGTCAGTTCCAGGGAACGTTCTCGCCTCTTTTTCATGTCTGTGACCTGGTTCCTCAGAGATCTCTGTGTCCCCACATCGATCTTCCCCTTAGTTTAGGATCTTCTCAGTCGGGGCTCCAGGGCCAAAGGGGGAGCCCCACCTTCACCTCTTCTTACTTGGTGGAGTTGTGTGCTGACCCTCCAGCCAGTTTTCAGAGGTACTTAACTGCATGGACACAGATTGTCCCCCCTTCTCACAGGGAGCAGCTGGCGGATGCAAACCGAGTGCCTTTGGCATCACACACAATTTCTTAGTTTCTTACCACTAGGGCCACTAGAGCTCCCAACTCGGTAGTAAGTCTCTTCCTCTGAAGATTGAAAGATGTAGCTCAAGCAAGAGTGGCCCCTTAGGGTGTGAGGGATGACTCACCTTAGTCCTGCCTCATTAACATACACAAGTTCCTCTTCCTGTTGTACCTGGAAGGCTGAAGGTCTGGGGCATCCCTGCAGAGGAAAGCAAGTGCTACTGTCACTTCCTCCAGTGACCACTTTGTGTCTCTATCACATCTTGGTAATTTTCACAACATTTTAAGTCTTTTCATACCGCTGTTGCACCCTTACAGACCACAGTATAGCTTAAACATAATTCTTACTTGTATTCAACTCAGCTCATTGCTGTTGGGTTGGACCTACCTCATTGCTGACCCTCCAGAAGGTTCCAGAGGCTCTAAATCACAAGGGAGGAGAATGTCCTTCTTCTGTGGAGCTGCTGGTGGATTTGAACCATCAGAGAGGGGCCGCCTTGAGGTTAGCAGCCCGACTCCCTAAAGACCACACTGCCAGAGTGCCCACGTGACTCACTTTATTGTGATATTTGCTTAATTGCCGTGGTCTGGACCGAACTGCATTATCTCTGAGGTGTGCTGGTATTATTTGCGATCCAATGAACACAGGGAGCTTGGGCCGGTGCCTTAATGGTAAGAACCTGCACTGCAATCCAAAAGGCACGGGATTCAAATGCACCAGCAGCTCCAGGGGAGCATGGACGCTTTCTCCTCCCGTGCAGTTTACGTCTCTGAAAACCCGCTGGAGGGTCAGCTATGAATAGGTCCCAGCTCAGTGGCACCCTACCACAGCGGTCAGCTGTGGCTCAGTGATCCTAGGAACCGCAGACCAGAACCTTGCCGTGTCGAGCGATTTCCTCACAAGCTCAGGCAGGATAGTGTAGAGGCCAGGATTTACAAAACATAGCTCTGGTGGTGGCCTAGTGGCAAGAAACTCCACCCAGTTCCAAAGGCATCCAGTTCTAATCCCCCAGCTGCTCTGAGAGAGAGAGATGGACAGTCACCTCCCAGGTGATTTACAGCCGCTGGAAACCCACTGGAGGGTCAGCTGTGGTTTGCTTCCAACTTGATGGTACACCATCCTGATAATGATATCAGATTGCAAATGGAGAGCAGCGCCCAGTGCTGAGACTCAGCCTAGTTACATGTTCTGAGGTGCTGAAGATCAATCCCGACCAGGTGTTCTATACCACCGAGTTGGAACTGCCCCATAGTTGACCCTCCAGTGGGTTTTCAGAGGCAGTGAACTGCACGGGAGGGGACTGCCCGTCTTTCCTGCAGAGCAGCGCTTTAACCACGAGGTCACTAGGGCTCCCCCGGCTGACAGGAGTGATATACCACGTGGTGGCTCTAAAGTGGCGTACTTGGCAGTTCTACAGTGATGTGATTTGGCTGTAGGGTGGTGTTGTCATGTACTGTCTGGTCAGAATCCACGCAGAGTGTATTTTCAGAGGCTGTCAGGCACGTGGGAGGATACTGCCCGCTGTTCACTCATTGAGCTGCCGATAGATTCGAACCACCACCTTTGGGTTGGCGGTATAGCTCCTTATCCACTGGGCCACCAGAGCTCCCTGAGGTGATGATGTCGTCATCCTCCGTTTTGTGATCTGACATGATCTTTGCAACTGATCTTTGCCATTAAGTGAGGAGCTTCCTGATTAAAATTGGCTTTTCGGGAAAAGCAAGTCTTAGAGAGGGAAGATCTTTTGTTAAACTGTGGTTATTAAGAGATTGTAGCTAACAGGATCAGGAAAACCTGAGCTGACTTTTAGAAAAGCCAGAGTCATTTAAAGTGGGATTTGATGGCCAGCTTTCCACATAATGAGGTGTGTTTTGAGGGCTTGAGTGAGAAATGCCAGGTAAGTAGTTGGACATTTAAGGGGACTCTTTATGCTGGTCTGTATTTTGTAATGGTGTATCTTCCATCTCTTTTGTTTTCATTTCACTAGTGTCCCGAGCCAGGGAAGCCGCCCTCGATGCCCAGTTTCTTGTTTTGGCTTCTGATTTGGGAAAAGAGAAAGCAAAGCAATTGCGCTCTGACCTGAGCTCCTTTGATATGTTGAGATACGTCGAAGTGCTCGTAAGTTCAAAGCTATAAATCTTAACTGCTTCCTTTACCTGTTGGGGTATAATTATCAGCGGAAGATCTCTGAGTAGTTCTTCCCTGGCAGCAGTGAGTTGGAGTGGATATGAATTTATATCTAGCTGTTAATGGTTTTAGCTTAATTCTTTGTTTTGATGTTTGGGTTTTTTTTCTCTGTTTTTCTTAGATTCCTCTAAAAAGATCTTACACAAATTAAGCAAATGAAAGTAAAGCCACGTGGTGGGCTTTAGAGTATGGTTGGTTTGAAAATCTTGTATCTTTCTGTCCCAGTGCTGGGTGGTATGGCAATTTACAGATAACTACTTGGGGCTTTCCCCCTCCTCCAATTAGCTGTCAGTTCTTAAGGGTTCTAGATTATTCTCAGAACCTTCAGCTTTTGACCTGGGCTTACGCAAAGGTCAGCCCGTCAGGTGTCAGAATTCAGCTGGAGCTCAGCTAGGCCTGTGGAGGCAGCATGTTCTGCCCAGCCCTTGAGAACATTTCAGAACCATACAAATATGGGGCTATTTTAAATTCACTTTTTTGTTTGTTTCATCTTTTCCCTCTTATAATTGATACAGCTTGACAGTTGTTACCTAAAATTTCAAAACTGTTCTTGGGTGCATTTTAAGCCCTGGTGGCACAGTGGTTGAAATGCTAACCGAGAGGTCAGCCACAGTCTAGACTCCCCCCGTTGCCCTGAGATGAGGCCGAGACAGACAGAATTCTTCTCTCGCGCCCTGGGGAGGGGAGTTAACAAGGCAATTCCAGGAGCCGGTGAAACTTCTCAGTTCTGATCTGGGCTGTGAGCCTACAGGTCGTGAAGCCAGCACAACCTCAGTACGTTGTTTCAGATTCTCACCGAAATGTCCTTAATTGAAGTTAGGGATATTTACTTTAGGGTTAAATGAACTGTTTTCTGCTAAAAACAAAGACAGGGATTTCTATGTGCAATCATTATACTAAGGAACTTTGCCAATACCTGGGGTCCCTGGAAACAGGCTTTGTCTTCAAGTGTTAATGAATCAGTGTTAGGAACGATGTTGGTAGGTTAACTGGGGGTTTCTGTTTAATTTTTGTAGCTGGCACATATGGGCGTCAACCCGCTCGAAGCTAACGCATTCACTCGGGAGGGAGAAGGTTCTGATGGTGAAGTGATAAGCTATGACTCGTGGAAAAGAGTAGGTCAAACAGCACAAACCGCCTTAAGCAGAACCCCTACATTCCACTTCCTGTAAGTGACCCTAAAAGTCATTTGTAACTCTTAGGTGGTGGCTTCTCTTAGAGATGATGCTTGGCACTGTCGGGGTGACGTTCAGGAGGTCACCTCACAGGCCCAAAGCTTCCTGCAGGCCCCCGTGTGCTCTGTTGGCAGTGACCTTCCACGCATCCGCCTGGGCCCCTTGGCTTCCCACCTGTGTGACTTTGGTCTGTGGGATAGCGCCTCTGCTTTTGGCGCCTTCCGCAGCCCTGCCACAGGCTTCTACTAGGGTCTCGTGAGAGGCTCTGTCACTACCTGTAACATGGCAGTCAATGCTGATCCCCTAAATCATAGTTACCGACTGTATTTGAATAGAAGTTGACGACTCTAATTTTAAAAAGTTTTTCTTCCTATCTAAAAGGAAATAGCAGCCCCAACTTCCTCCCACAGTCTGATGGAGGAGCCCTTACTGGTTTGTCTGTGAGACCAACTTCAAGTCCACTCATTGGTGGGCTCCCCAGTGGACACCTTCTCTGGTGTAACCTCCCCAGGCGTCTGGGGCATTTCTTCGTGCCCAGTGCAAGTGCCAGGTGTTTGTGTACCGAGCCACCCCTCAGCCTCCTGAGGTTGGTGGCAGCTTGAGCTATGACAAGATGAGGGTTTCGGAGTGGGTGTTTGGTTTTAATAAGCCCTCAGATGGCTCTTGTGTCCAAAACCTTATCCTGGACCGGCGTTTCTTATAGGATAGAGACTGCATCTTTGTGGTTTGCTGTTGAGGGCAAGGCTCTGCTAGAAATCTTAGAATGCAGAGAGAAAGGTTTTTGTGATGTAATTTAAATGTCATGCCATTGTCCAGCGTGAAGCGTTGCATCTCTGAACTCCTCTTTCCCCCCTTTTCATCTGGTGAGGTAAACTTAGCCCACAGGCTCCAAGTTGGAAGCCTATGGGAACTTCTCCAGACGGAGGTATCCAGACAGTTGGGACCACATTTCTCAGCCAGACCTGTGTGCATGTACACGGTCTGCCTGGACACTCATAGTTCTGAATGAATCTCGCACTGTGGGGTCTGCCTTACCGCTGACCTGCATCTGCACGTGACCCGTTAGCTGGCCCCCTACACTGCAAACTATAATCTCCCCAAGTGTAGGGACTCCTCAGTTTGTATTCTTTAGCCCATGATCTTGACATCATACACCTTTTACTATGGCTTAAGGCTGAGTTAAAGGCTTTTGGTGGGGAGAGTCCCAAAAGAAAAGCAATCCCATGGCCTCACCTAGACCTGTTGTCCTAAGACAGGTGTGTTGGAGATGCGCCCCAGGTCGGCCACTTAGTCCCCACTGGAACGGTTCCATTTTCACCCCGTCACGGCCTCCTTCCTTGGCCAGAAAGTAGTTGGCTTCCTGACAGAGACGAGACTATCTGGGGAGACTCCACACACATGCTCACTAGCTTACTGTTGAGAGCAAAGAGAGGGTGTTTGGGAGGTGTCTGTGGGGAGAAGAGCTCCTAGAGGTTTCTTTAGAAGCACACAGGAGCAGAGAAGACGTCACAGACTCAGCACAAGAGTCTTGATCGGTACAAGAGTCAATTCCACGTAATCACTGATGCCTGGTCTCCATTTTACTCTACTTTGGAGACCCCTTTTGGTGAATGAAATGGATTTGTTTGAAAAAATAGTAAAGACATGTGCTCAATTTCTTCCTTAGATTGGGTTCAATACAAGGAGAAGCCCCAGTACCAAAGCCACGAGTCGAACGTCCCAGAAAAAACCCCATGACCGAACAGCAGAGAGCGATGCCTGCCCAGGTTTGTACCTTTAACTGCCGTTGTTGTTGTGGTGGTGGTGTTCTGTTGTATCTGAGGAGACTCACAGATGACCCTTCGGCAGGTTTCCAGAGGCAACACATTGCAGGGGAGGAGATTGCCTTTCCATCTCCTCCGGAACAGCTGGTGGATTTGAACCACATGCCTTTGGGATTCAGCATAAGCTTCTTAGCACTAGAGCTCCCTAAATGTTCTATAAAGAACCTAAAGTTTGAATAACTGTTAACATAGCCTGTATCCAATTAGGCCGTTTTTGTTTTGTTTTGTTTTTAATTTTATTAATTTTAATCAATTAGGCCGGGGTTTTTTTGTTGTTGTTTTTTAAATTTAATTTTATTAATTTTAATCAATTAGGCCGTTTTATCAGAATCATTTCAAGTTGTACAGCCTGGGGGCGTCAGTCCCTGAATTCATTTTATTTAAATCTTTAAACACTTAAAACTTCATTTATTGGATTTGAATGACTGTTTACAGAACAGATCGGAAGCCTTTCTCATTTTGCTGAACGTTTGCTTTTAACTCCTTTTTATAACTTTTATTTTTCAGTTACAAAGAATGGAAGAGTCTCATCAGGAAGCAACAGAAAAAGAAGTGGAAAGAATCCTGGGATTGTTGCAGACGTACTTCCGAGAAGACCGTAAGTGTGATGCCGGGTTTGAAGTGGAGCTAAGCACGTGTTCTCAAATCTAGACCTCTGCCACTTTCCTAAGAAATCTTTTTGATTCACAAGGCATTTTCAGCCGTGTGTCGTGTTTGAATCACTTTGGTTCCACATGCATTTAATGGGGCTTCTCTAGAAATCCCACCTGAGAATGGGGGTCGGATTAACTTTTTATTGCCATTTTTAAAAGACGGATTACCTTCTCTACTACAAAATAAAACATGCCATGAGAGTGAGAAAATTCCCCAAAATCCAAACGCACTGTCTTTGAGTCAGGAGTGACCCGGCTCTCCAGAGCTGAACTGTCCCATAGGGTTTTGAAGGCTGTAGTCTTTACAGAAGCAAATAGCTTTGTCTTTCTCCTTCAGGGTGGCTGGTGGGTTCAAACCAACAGCCTTTCAGTTTGCAGCCAAATGCCTTCACCAGAGTGCCACCAGAGGTTTTGGGAAAAGAAGTACCTCATTTCAGCCTCCTTCTCTCCCCAGGGACAGCCATGCTTAAAAAGTGTATCGTATATCATTGGAGATTACTGTTTTTTTTTATGTTCATCATACAGGAGAGGAAGACTCCTGGATCAGATTGATACAGTAAGGAGGGCAGTGGGGCTTGGTGTGTCATAATCAGTGAGATGGCTTCGGGTAGGGCAGGCTTCAGAGCTGTTGTACATAGGGTCTCTCTGAGTGGCAGGGGACTCGATGGCACAGAACAACAACAACAGACATCGAGTACGACTCATAGAGTGACCCTGTGTACAGCAGCTCTGAACCCTGCCCTATCCTGAGATAGTCTCACTGTCTCTGATACAGCCACCCTTATTACCCCAGTTACTGTGTTAGTCCATCTCATCTGGGGTCTTTCTTGTGCTGTCCCTCCACCTTTCCAAGCATGAAGTCCTTCTCCAAGGACTGGTCCCTCTTGGCATCATACCCAAAGTATTGAGACGGAGCCCTCAAAATACTTGTTTCCAAGTAGCAGCTTGGTTTCACTACCTCCAAGACATACTGTTGGTTCTCTTGGCAGTCCATGGTATGTTCAGTACAAAGACATATAAAGAATATTGTTGTTCATTTTGCCTTTTTCAAAGCTGTTCTTAATATCCACACTCCTACAACATGCCTCTTCTAGGAGGACATTTTTCCACATTGAGACATACAAACCAGAATAAAACCCAGCTACACGGGTACCTTCTGACTCCTGGGCAACTCTGTGTTTCCAGGCACACTGTGCTGCTGAGTTTTCCGTGGCTGGGTTTTTAGCAGGAGATCATGCTTTTCTTCCAAGGCACCTCAGGGTGGACTGCTAAGTGCTAACCATTTGCACCTTCCGCAGCTCTGCTGATTCTTTTCCACGATTCCAACTGTAAATGTGTTTAACTTGTCCTGTCCTAGTTAAACACACTTACTAGGCTAGGAAAATTCTTTAGAGCATTGGATGCTTATATAAATTGCTGAAGTGAAGAATTTTCATGTTATCTTTGTACCAATATTTATGTAGGAAACGATTTAATAGAAACCATCTTAGCTACCCTCCAGAAATTCTGATTTATACTCCACAACTGGACATGTGCCCATTTCTTCCCCTCTGCTGACATAAGAGAGTGTGGGATCTAACCTTTTTTTCCAGTTTAATGAATGAAAGTTCATTTTTTCCTGTTGTGATGGTTTTCTCCTCTCTTTTTTTTTCTGTAGCTGAAACGCCCATGTCCTTCTTTGACTTCGTGGTCGACCCGCATTCTTTCCCCCGCACGGTCGAAAACATCTTTCATGTCTCCTTCATCATCCGGGTAAGATGCTAGAGCGTCTCTCATGAGACTTACGTGGACTTGGAAAGGGGTCAGCAATGCAAGCTGCACGTGGACTTGTAGAAACTATTTGATCAGGATGCATTTTAGACCCATTTGTTGCGAGGTATTCATTGACAGGTAGCTAAAAATCATCCACTGGTTAAACATTTGATGACCTGCATTTACATTTAGATATTTTTTTAGAGAAAGACCTGGCAACATTTGAATATGGGAATGGGAATATCATATACAGTGGTGTGCTGTTGAGTCGGAGCTGGCCCAGAGCTGACCCTTCAGCAGAGTTTCAGAGGCTGTGAGTCACACGGGAGATGGCCCGTCCTCCCTCAAAGCAGTATTTGAACCGCGTGCCCTCGGCCACCAGAGCTCCCTGTTGTAGATGAGATAATATTAGGTAACCGTACGTCTGTCGTGGTGGCCTGTCGTGTCAGCTCATTGATTTTCCCCATGAGGTTCTCTAGTCCTCACAGAAGCAGACCAGCAGGTCTTTGCTGTGGAGCTGCTGGGTAGGTTCACATCATCACCTTTGCAGTTAGGAGCTGAGCTGTTGAGTCGTTGCACCACCAGCGCTCTTGAATAAACTTGATGCCACCGAGTCCCTTCTGACAGATAATGGAAAGCTGTATTGGAGGAGACTATGCATTTTTCTCCTTTAGAGCATCTGGTGGATTCAAACTACCAACCTGTCCTTTATAGGATAGTATAAATGTTAAATGTCCTGGGCTTGAGAATTAAGTAAGGAAGCATCCTTTTTCCCAAGAAATACACAGTGAAGTTTTAGGGAGGGGGCAGGCCATTTACGATTGATTCTCATAGGGTCCAGAGAAAATAAGAATATAATGTAGAGAGATCAGGATAAAGTCATAATTTTAAAAACTGGTGAATCCGGGCAAACAGCGGTTTTGCAACTTTAATTATAAAATAATTTATAAATGAAAGCTTTAAAAATAAAACCCCGTTCAGATTGTACCGTGGATTTTGCTTTTGGCTCTGTAGTTTTCCGTTGTCTTGTGTTTGTGAGCATGTTAGGTGACTTTGATTTTAAACTTTGGCTTCTTTTTTAATGGACTCACTGTGAATTTAAGATAAAATCTTCGGTTGACTGAAGTATTCTTCAAGAAATGATAACACGAAAGCAATTTTATCAATGGGAATTGACAGACTTGTACACAGTAGCCAAATGGTTAGTTTTATTTAAAAGGCTGAGTCTGTGTGGAGTAAGCTTTGGGCAAAAACAAATACTAAAAGATGTCTTTTGTCTGTATCATCCTCACTTGGAGGGTCTGAGAGAGAATGTTCTATTGAATATTTTTTATTTCTTCTAATAGTAAAAAGAGCGGAAGCTCGATCTTGGTCTTCACCAAAAGCTATGTTATTTGTGTTCCAGGATGGCTTTGCAAGAATAAGACTTGATCAAGATCGACTGCCAATAATAGGTAAGTGGTAAGAGGTTCAGATTAGCTCGTTGTAGAGAAAGTATGTTTGTCCTTTGTTGATAAAATAGGATTTTTAAAACTAGATTTAAATAAAGCTTTTATTTATTTATTTTTTAATTATTATATTATTTTTACGTGTACCGTCAAATCAGATCTGACTGGTACAGGAGGAGATTGCCCCCTCCTTCTCCAGCAGAGCATCTGGTGGATTTGAACCACGTACCTCTGGGATTGCAGTGCAGCGTCTTGCCACTAGGCCACCAGAGCTCCCTAAAGCTTTTCATTTTTATTTACTCATTCACTGTTGCACATTTCTCTCCTTACCCCTTCCTTCTCCAGTCCACTTTGCAATACACCTCTTGTTTCAGATTGTTGTTAAACATAAAATGCGTAATGAGGTTTTAAAAGCACCCTGCCTTGTGCTTTTTATGAGAATTTACACAGCTTCCATTTAATAGTCTCTGTACACATTATTCAGAGAGAAGGGTTTCATCTTACACAGTGTATCCTACTCTCATCATTTCTGGTCCAGTTTTTCTATTTCCACTAATTCCGCTTCCTTCCTCCCTGACTTCATTTTAGCTTTAGGGTAAATGGACTATAAAATGACTCGTGGAGGAACAGAAGTGAGCTTTAGCATAGGTAGCAAACTCGTGCAACAAACTGAAGAGCCTTTTGAATCCACCAGGTGTTCTGCTGGAGAAGGAGGGGCAATCACCTCCTGTACCAGTCAGATCCGATTTTATGGTACACACACAAAAAAATTAAATAATAACAAACTAAAGTACAAAAACATTTAAAAAAATATAAAAGAAAATAATGAGAGTATCAGTTGTGATGCTTGGATGGCATGATCACCAGCACTGGTTCCACATTTTCTGCAGTAATAACTGATCAAGGGCATTACAGTGTCTTGAATTTGAATTCACTGGCGATCATTTTTGTCCCATTTCCTTCTTTCTGACCACTTTTTCCTTGAAGCCTGTTCCTGTCCGTGAAGGCCTAGGAATTTGAATACTTTTGCACACACACTCCATTACTCCATTACTTTTAGGACCTCCTGAGGAGGCCAGACTACTCTGTGCTTCTTGATGAAACATTGTCCGTATCACCTGAGTTTCACGTGGATGGCCCTCCCTGCTTGCCGCATATATAGGTGGAGGTCTTCACAAGACGAGCCATCTCCTCCCGTGTGACTTACGGCCTCTGGAAATTCACCGGAAGCTCAGCTATGAGCTGGTTTGACTCCACAGCAATGACTTTGACTTTCAAATACAGAAATCCATCTGCTAAAGCCCAGAATCCCAGAAGGATGTGGTGTCTGGAAATGCCTTTGGGCTGTTTGCTGACTAAAAGGCTGGCACTTAGCACCACGAGCCCCTTTGCAGGAGAAATACGTGGCGGTGTGCGCCCGCGAAGAGGCTCTCATAGCAAGGCCTTCCCTTTCCTCTCCACTTGTCCCTCTTGCCTTTGGACAGACCCCAGCCAGAATTCTAGGCCAAGTTTATCAGCCTCAGTTACTATGAGCCTTCTCCCTGATGAGGTAGGTACCTTTGAAATAAATCAGAAGGATAGGAAAATACACACGTTTAGAAAAGAAGAGTTGACTCTCACTCATGGTGACCGCATGTGTGTCACAACAGAACGACACTCCGGTGGGTTTTCAAAGGTGATCTTCTGGAATTAGATTACCAGACCCCTCTTCCAAGGAGTTTCTCAACTGTCAGCCTTTTGGTTAGTTACCAGGTGTTTAATCATCTGTGCCAGCTGAGGACTTCATGTACAAATTACCAGGTGTTTTCTTTTTCTCCTCCTTCATGCGCATGCTTAAGCTACCAAGCATATGACGATGTGGCTTCCTTGAGATGGGAAAATGATAGTGCTCTTCAGGCTGCTGCTAAAGCTTCTGGAGGGAACGGGCTTCTTGTTGCCACTTGGGCCCGTGAAGAAGCTCTCAGTGCCCTCTAGGCGGGACCAGTTCCTAAGTGACCCGCCGTTGATTTTTCCGAAGGCCGTCAGTTGTATGGGAAGAGATTGCTCATCTTTTGACAGCTGTGGAAACCCTCGGGGGCGGCTCTGCTCTGAAACACAACAGTGTTGATAATTACAAACCCTCTCTGAGGCCAGGTGCAGTCTCATCAGTTTCCCTTTCGGCGAATGACCTCTGCTGATGTGGTCGCCTCTGCCATCTTTGTCTTTCAAACAGAGCCCATTAATATGAATGAAGAGAATGAGGCAGTCGACCATAACACGCAAATGAGAAATCAGGGCATTATCTCGCTCAGTTACCGGGACTGGCAGGTAAGGCTTGTGCGCAGCCCGTACAGCTGTGGGCCGTCCTCCTCTGTGGGCGACCCGACCCTGAACTCTTGTCCTCTACCAGGAGATTGTGAAGACCTTTGAGATCTCGGAGCCAGTGATCGCCTCTGGTCTGAGCCAGCGCAGGGCGAGTTCCTGATGCCTTCCAGGTAGCATCCCGGCACTGCCGCGGTTCTGTTCAGGTTTGCGTGGGGTGCTAGTCTAGCCTCCCTTTCCCAAACCAGAGAAATCTGCCTTTTGCATTCTCTGAGAGTCCCATTCATAGGCTCCTGTAAGTGGGGAGAAGGCAGGGGCAGGGCACAAGGGTTCCAAGTTCTTCTCCCAGGACTGACGGCTTTGGCGTTCTGGAGATTGGAGGTTAAAGGGACTGAGCAGCTGTTTCTTCTTGGCTCGACATTTTTTTTTGCCCCAGGGGGGATCTGGTGGCTTAATGGAAAGGAATTGCAGTGCCAGTGCAAAGGTGCATGGTTCAAATCCACCTGGTGCTCCATGGAGAAAGATAGTCATTGTTCTCGTGTGTAGTTTTCTGCCTCTGAAAACCTGCCAGAGGGTCAGCTGTGAATTGGTTCCTGCTCGGCAGTACACAACAACAACACCCTGATAAATGAGCTCCCGTCAGCCCTGTTGTGTTGCTCAAAGCAGAAAGGAGGTGCTAGGAAAATCAACAGAGAAAGATAGCTGGGCATTTCTGACGTTTGAGTTCAGCTATGAAATAGTAATTTCAGGAGGGGCACCATTTCTGGGAGTCTTACCTATGACCTGGCATTCGGTGTGGCACACAGCTGGGATGGGTGTTGGAGACTCTGGTTCTGGCCCCTCCCCTGCTCTGTTACTAGTTGGAAAACCTTGGGAAGAATAGGTGGACTGGCATTTTCATTTTGTGCCTTCTACTTTTCTTTGCATCTCTTTAGCTGAAAAGTTAGCTAGTCAACCAGCTAACTCACTCTCCCTTCCCCCCCAACCTATGTATTCTCCTAAGCAGCTATGATAGTTCTTCAAAACATGTTAATGTCTTAAAAAAGCTAAAAAGAAAAATGTAGCATGGCACATTTACAGAATCACCTGGGGATGGAGAAGGAGCCATGTTGTATGTATTACGTGCGTTAAAAAAAAAATCGAGATGGGCGAGCTCTGGTGGCCTAGTGGCAAGGAGCTGCACTGCAATCCCAGTGCTGAGCAGTTCGAATCCACCAGATGCTCTGCCGGGGAAGGAGGGACAGTCTCCTGTACCAGTCAGATCTGATTTGATGGTACAGATACAAAGAAATAATAAAATAATTTTTTTTTAATCGAGATGTTGTGGCCATTGCAAGGGAAAGAGGGTGGTTAACTTCCAGTCATGTCTAGTAGATGAACTCTGTCATTTACAAACTCTTAACCAGCTCTCTTTTCATTTCTCAGGACTCAGATGCTTAATGCAATGCAAGCTGGGAACCAACATGAATTGTATATATTGTATGATTGAACATTTTTAAAGAGATAGGTTTTAGTAAAATGTACCTTGTGATAGTTATTTAGCTAATGGATTAGTTGTGATTGTCTCTGATTAAAGGAAATTCACTGCCATGCCCTCTCAGTATGGAGTTCATCTTTTTTTTTTATTTGTGTGTGTGCGTGTACCGTCAAATCAGATCTGACTGGTACAGGAGGAGATTGTCCGTCCTTCCCCAGCAGAACATCTAGTGGATTCGAACCATGCGCCTCTGGATTGCAGTGCAGCTTCTTGCCACTAGGCCACCAGAGCTCCCCGGAGTTCATCTTTTTCCTTCCTCCAGTCCTGTCCCATTGAAAGTTATCCTGAAGTGGTTAACTGATTGCTTGATGGATAATCGGGAGGTCTGGTGCTATCATCTGTGGGCATATATGCTAACGGCCGCTCGAATTAGAATCCACCAGCGGCTCCGTGGGAGAAAGTTGGGCACATTTGCTCCAAGGTGACTTACAGCTTTGGAAACCCTCTGGAAGGGGCAGGTCGGTTCTGACTTAATGGGGGAGAGATGGACAGACAGACAGACAGAACCCCCCCCCCAAGAGTGTTAGGAGAACACTTAGCCAGTCAAGTCGACAAGTGGTAGCTTGAAACTGAAGTTTTATAGGTGAATTGTGGTCAGACCTCGCTGGTTCCGCCTGTGATTTCTGCTGCTTTATCTGAGCCACGTTCATCACTTTTCCTCCAGTTCTGTCCATCATCCCTTTAACTAGTTTATCACTCAGCTGCTGGAACACTCAGGGGTCCCGTGTCTCTGCTTACCCTCTCTTTTTGGCCAGTTTGACTCACTTTGAAGGAAAATGAGGGAGTCTGGGATTTCACTTTCACAGCACATAGGAAAGAATACTAGCACACAAAGGGATCCAATAATCTCGAAAATAATTTAAACTTTAATTTTGTCTATTTGGCTCCTCAAAAACGGTGGCATGCTCAAGAACACCCTCCGGTGGGGGCTGCTTCTCTTCTCCTCCGACTTCTCCATCAGGACCGACACCTGTAGGAGCTGCTTCTGACTCGGCTGGAGGAGCGGGTAGGCCGTGGTCCACTCCAGCTCCTTCCCCCTGGCTCTCTGCGCTGGGGGTTTCTGGTAAAGCGGAACTGGCTGGTTCTCGAGTTTCTGAGCTGCTTTTTCCTCGTTCCTTTGGCGGGTAAGTTCTCTCCCACGAGCCATTCGATCTTGATGTTCCTTCATCTGCTTTTTTGCCAGCAGCATTCGGTTCCTTTCACTTAGTTTTTTCAGTATTTTCTCAGCAGTTACATGCTTCTCTTCCTTCTCTGGGGAGGGGATGTTGGGGCGACACACGTCTTTGGTGGTTCTCTGGGATGCAAGACGGTAGTTGGGGTCCGGCAGGCCTCTGGCCCGCTTGGCTCGGTTTATGTGCTGCTTTATCTGACCAAGCTCCCGCTCGTGGACCACGTAGTCCCACTGTTTCACTTCTTTGGCCTTCTTTCTTTGGAGCGGCTTTTTGTCCTCCTCTACTTTGATTTCCCTCTTCTCTGCTTTGATTTCTCTCTTCTCTGCTTTGATTTCCCTCTCGTCTGCTTTGATTTCTCTCTTCTCTGCTTTGATTTCCCTCTCGTCTGCTTTGATTTCTCTCTTCTCTGCTTTGATTTCCCTCTCCTCTGCTTTGATTTCCTTCTTTGGCACCATGTTGAGTGTCCATTCTTCCCTCCACCTTGCCCTGTGTTGTTGATAGTAATGTGACTCTGTCCTGGCAAGCCAGAAGTTGAAAGACTCGGCCTTAAACTTAGAAAGAGTTTCATTTTCCTGCTGAAACTTTTTCACTAACAGTTTCCTCGTGCCTGAAGAATGAACTCCACCTAAACTCTTGTTCAAAGATAAGCAGTAGAGCTTTGTAAGCTGGATGTCCTGTCGTCCCTGTACACACACCTCCCAGGACTACGGGCCCTGCCTGCGCTCCCAGCAGACTCCTGCCCGGTTTCCTGTCTTCCTCCTCAGGCCTCCTACACTCCCCTCCCAGCGTTCCCTTCTCGCAGAAGATGCTGGCTTAGTGCAGGCCTCTTCTCCCCACTGCCAGGACCACCATCTCCCATCTGCACCCAGACTGGGCCTTCCCACCCTGATAACAGAGATGGTCCTTCCTCATCGATCAAAGCCAGCTCCCTGCCTCCGCTTTCTGAGCATCAGAAACTTCCCCTTTCCCATCCGTGCTCAGATTCCTGTTCGTGCCGTGTCAGAGCCTCCCTCTCCCTCTGCTGGGTCATTTCCGGTCAGCATGAGAACGTGGCTCAGTGGACACCATCTTTAAACACAAAGGGAAGTGCATTCTTGGTGCATAGCATACTCGGGCTTCTCACTCACTCTTCGCCGTCGACTGGGACCCGACTCGGGTGACCCTCCGCTCGGTTGTCGAGGGTGGAAATCACACCGGGGGAGACCGGTCATCTTTGGCTGGTGGAGCTGCCGCTGGATTCAAGCTGCCAGGGAGACGCCCGTGAGTGCAGCTCCTGACGGGCTGGGTGGTCCCCTTTGTGGTCAGTCTTCTTGAAGGAGGAGCACCCCTCACTTCTTTCCGCCTCCATCCAGGTCGGCTGGCTTTCTCAACCGCTAGTGATTTCTCTTGATTGTACGTGTTCATAAGTACCTTCCTCATTGCCACGTTCAGTGTTCCCCTCTCTGCTCGGGTCACCCTCGGCCTCTCAGCAGCACTCGGTCGCCCTTTCTTCTGGCTCTCAGGTTCCCACCAGGCCTTGGACTCTAGCCCAGCCCTCAGCCGCACATCCTGGTCCCCTCCACCGCATGGACGCCGCCTCCCTGTTGGCTTGGCCAGTTCTTCTCGATGGCACATAGAGCAGAGGAAAGCATTGCCATGGTCACGTTCACTGTACATGGATGGTCTCGGTCACACCACAAGGAGTCTGACCACGTTCCAAGACTGCTCGAGAGCCAGGGTTGATGACGAGATGGATGTGGCATGCGACTGCCCTGCCCTCACCTCTCAGTCTCGGTCCCAGGCCAGAGACTGGCTTCTCCGCATCTCCACTTTGACTTCCTTCCTAATCCACGTTTCGCTTCAGTGTGCTGCCCTAGCCTAGCGTTGTAGCCTTGTCCCCAATTCCTTAGTGTCCCTAACGCTCATTGCCTCTCCCTGTCCACCAGGCTGTCAAACCACAGCCAGCACCATTAAACCGTCATGAAAACAAGCGACAAAACACTGGCCAACTTGACAGTGTCTTCATGCATAACTCGACAACTGATTACCCCATCATACTGCCTAGACATCTATATGGTCCTTTCCACATGGTCCCACCATCACTGTAGACTTCACGTATCCTAAGCCAGAGAGAACGAATGGCCTTTCCAGTCTGTAAACTTGAACATGCCACGTTTGCAGCACAGAACCCTGGAAGAGTGTCTGCTGCTCCTGGGAGAGGCACTGGGGTTCTGGGGATGATGCTGCCAACTTGACCATGGCCCCAGCCCCGCTGCTCGCTCTGATCTGTCCATATCTACTTGGTTCCTCAAAGCTGTGTTCTGTTGTCATACGAAAGCTGCTTTCGTGTGCTCCCTGACGGGCAGCTCTGACTCCATGCTCATTTTCGCTTTGTTTCTCCAGGACTTCTCATTACACCTGCGCAAAGGCCACCCTTTTACAGCGACCAGTGTTAATTTATGCACATTTTGTTTTTAATGACTACCTCCCTCACTCACGGGAGCTCTGGTGGCCTAGTGGGTGGGGAGTTATGGGGCCAATCCAAAGGCAAGTGGTTCGAATCTACCAGCCGCTTTGCAGGATGAAGGTGAGCAGTCTCTTCCTGTGTAACTTAGAGCCTCTGATAACCTGTCAGGGTGAGCTGAGTTATGACTTCACAGCCGTGAGTTGGTTGTTTGCCCTCCGTAGATGAAGTCCGGAGGTGCTAACGTGCAGTTTGAGCCCTCTCCCTGGGTGATCTCAAACCCTCTACCTCAGTGATAACTCCCCATCCCTCCACAATGCTAGATAACACAATGCACTTCTCACCTCTATCATCATCTCCAGCTGGGACTTGGGACCGGCTGCAATCCGAGGGTCTTGGGTCTTGCTGGCCCAGGCCAATCTGGGAAAAATGAGAGAAGTCGTATGAGGGTTGGGAGGAAGGTTTTGGGTAATGTCAGCTTGGTGTGTGGCACGGTCGGGACGCCACGTGGGATCCACTGCTCGGCTGTCACGGAAGGAACTTCTGTGGCAGCAGGGACAGAACACCTACTGTTCTTGTGCTCCCAGAGCCAACCACTGGGATTCTGCCCCCGGTGGGATCTGTGATAACTGTGATAACGGAGACGTCTGGTCTGTGGAGGAGGACTCGCTGAGACCCACACTCGCCGTATCTTTGGACCAGTCCTTGCTTTTAGCCAGCCTCAGGGCCTCCAGCTGCGTTTCTTTGGGCAGCCTGGTCTTGGCCGTGGGCCTCTCTGTCGCCTGCTTTAGGAGCAGCATCTCTGCTCATCAGACACCCTCTTCCCGAGCTGCTGAGCTATCTCTGGTCCTGCTCCTTTTGGGAGTGGTCATCGTCTCAGCTCTCTGGCCCCTAGGGCAGCCCTGGGGAGATTTCTAGGGTAACCAGAAGCAGTCACAAACTCTTTTGTGTCATCGCTGCCTCGGACTGTGTCCACTGTGAGGTGGGCTGTGAAGACACAGTCCACTTGGCCTCCCTCAGGCTGAGGGCCCTCCTGGGGGGACAGACACTTCAGCTCGACAAGCCTGGCGCTGCCTACTTCTGAGTGCTCAGCGGTCCACAGGAGCAGTAGGTGACCGCCCCGAGTAGACCCTACGTGGCCACTCACGGGAATCCTTGCTGGTTGGATGAGTGGTCCAACCGCCACTGTTGAGCACCAGTCCATGTGCTGCCCAGCTACCCCCTGCTCTTACGGAGGCTTCAGTTTAACACAACTTAATGTACCTTAAGTGTCTGGTGGAGCTCCCCGATTAAAGCAAGCTTGGAGGCAGGAGTGCCATCCACTTCCAAAATAGCTTGTCTCCGGAAACCCTATGAACTTGGAGAAACAAAGTTCTACAAGTGTTCAGGTCTTTTGTTCATAGGGTTGCTATGAGTCATCTACAACTTGACAGCACTTAACAACAGCAAAGTATTTTAAAATTAAAAAACCCGCACCACTGACTGGAAACTAACTCATAGCTGACCCTCCAGCAAGTGTTGAGAGGTCATACATCCCACAGCAAGTGCCTACCCATCTCAGAACAGCTGGTGAATATGAACTGCTTGTCTTTGGGTTGGCAGTGCCGTTCCTTACCCTTTAGGCCACTGGAGTTCCCTCGTGCATGTAAAACAAATTTTGCATTGGCTTGTACACAAAATTCATCCACACTGTTTCACACTTTTCTTTATTCACGTTTCACACCATCATTGCTATACACTGTGTTTTATAAAATCATCATTGATCTCTAGTGCTTTGTTGTCCACCATTAAGTCAGAACTGACCCACAGCTGACCTTCCGGCAGGTTTTCAGAACCAGGTAATCACACGAGATTGTCCATCTTTCTCCCACTGAGCAACTGGTGGATTCGAACTGTGTACCTTTGGGTTGCCAGCTCAACCCCTTACCACTAAGCCACCAGAGCTCCCTGATGTATTTTTAGTTACTTATTATAAGTAGTTCGAGCCCTGGTCATACCTTCCATTATGCTTTGGGTAACCGGGCAGGATAGCACTTGTGTCCCCATGAGCTGCTCCAGGGGAGGGAGACGTGGCCGCCTGCTTTTGTAAAGACTGCAGCCTTGGAAAGGCTGTAAGGACAGGTGTCTGTCCTTCAAGGTCACTGTGTATGGAAATCAATGATAATGGGCTTGGTCTGGGTACCTTTTATCGTGATCTGGGTACATGTTCACAGAGGAAATGGATGTTCCACTCAGAAATCATACATGTCGTGTCTCATGACATTCACCGTGATCTGAGATTATAGCAGCACTCTTCCCACTTCTGCCCCGTGTTCCCCATTTCCATTCACCTCTCAAAACTCAACTATTCATAATCACTATTAATTGTGCTTATTAACAGTATTAGTTAAAGACAGGGAAACAGAAAATACTCCCAGGTTGAAATAGAAATTAATGTAATGATTCTGCAGATTCACGTCAAGATAACTTATCTGTAAAAAGAACATTTGATCCAGGAATCCCACTAGTAGGCAAATATCCTAGAGAAATAGGAGCTGTGATACAAACAGATATGTGTACGTCCTGTTCATTGCAACACTATTTACAGTAGCGAAGATGAAAACCACCTGTTGTCAGTCGGCCAAGGGAAAAGACAGAGATGGGGGACACTCAGGAATGGAGGTCAGACCAGAAGGCGTGAAGGCAGGTGGCTAACAGCTGGGAGAATGGCAGCCCCTATGGCAGTGGGTTTTGTTTTGTGTTTTACGTATCTTTTTGTCTATGGGTATGGCAATGTGCATCTGCTGGCACTGAAGCTGTTCATTTTATTACAGTTCAAAGAAAAACATTAATAAGCATGTTTATTTCATACATGACTTGTCAGTTGGGATGACATTTTCAACTAGAACAAAATTAAAAGGTTATGGCTAACATTGAGAAGAATGGGAATTTCAGAACAGGAAATTGTGTCCACACAGCAGCTGCACCCAGATGAAGACGCTGTTGTGCAAAGAGAACAAGAACGCCACATGGTTTAAAATCAGGAAGGATGTGTGTCAGGGTCCCCATACCTCCTCAGTCTGTATGCTGAGCAAATGACTCGCCAAGCGGACTCAGAAGAAGAATGCGACATCAGGACTGGAGGAACAATCAACAACCTTCTTTATGTAGAAGACACAGCTGTGTTTGCTGAAAATGAAGAGGATCTGAAATATTTGGTGCAGAAGGTCAAGGACTATAGCCTTCTGTATGGATTACATCTCCCATCCAAGTACTAACCAGGCCCGACCCTGCTTAGCTTCCGAGACCAGACGAGATCGGGCGCGTTCAGGGTGGTATGGCCGTAGACATACATCTCAACATCAGAAAACAAAGGTCTTCACTACAGGAGCAACAGTCTTGCTCATATCAACAATCAAGCCCCTTGGTATCAGCAGTCAGGAAATCCGGAGACGTATTGCACTGAGCAAGTTCACTGTCAGCGACCTCTCCAGAGTGCTGAGGAACAATGATGTAAGTTTGAAGACTAAGGGGCGCCTGATTCAGGCTATGGTCCTCTCAGTCACCTTCTGGGCATCAGAGAGCTGGAGAGTGACTAAAGATGACAGAAGAACTGATGTCTATGAGTTTTGTTGGAGAAGAGTGAATATCCCAAGGACTGCCAGAAGAAGAGATACGTCTTGGAAAAGGTGCAGCCAGAGTGCTCCTTGGAGGTGAGGGTGGTGAAGCTTCATCTTTGATACTCTGGACATGGAGCTAGGTGAAGCTACTTCTTGGAAAGGGACATTATGCTTGGAAAGATGGAGGGTCAGGAAGGAGAAGAAGGCCCCAGTGAGATGGACCGACGTGGTGACTTCAACATAGGTTCCAGAGTATGAGAGATGATGAAGGTGGCGGGGTTCAGGCTGGCTGTTCGTAGGGTCACTGTTGGTAGTATGTGACTAGAAAGCACCTAACAACAATGGGAAAATCCCTTACATGTTTTATATGCCACTTCTTATTATTTTTCTTTTTATTGTATTATTTTTATGTGTACCATCAAATCACATCTGACTGGTACAGGAGGAGATTGCCCCCTCCTTCTCCAGCAGAGCATCTGGTGGATTTGAACCGCGTACCTCTGGGATTGCAGTGCAGCGTCTTGCCACTAGGCCACCAGAGCTCCCTTTATATGCCACTTCTTATTGCTCGCTATTTGTGCATCACCATGAAATAGCCAGAATATCTCGTAGAGAAGTAGTTAGTCCTCTGTGCTGCTGTGGCGGGAAGGGCACAGATGACCCTTTAGAAGTGCAGAGGGCAGACAACCATTCTTTACCAACGTTTGCCGACATAGGGCCACTGTTGTAAAACGGAAGTGACATCGGGGTTGAGGGAAGACAGAGAAGGAGGAGAGGAATGATGTATACTGCATTGAAACAGATGAGGGAAAGAACTGTTTAAAAGGGATATATGATCAGGTATTATTGTCATGACAGGAGTCCAGAATGAAGGCTGCACAGTCGAGTGGACTTGGGGGAAGGGATTGCATAATAATGAAAAAGTTTTACTTTTCAAGAAGAGTGAATTGGGGAGGGGTTAGGCAGGGAGAAAAGTGCAACAGTGAATGATTGGAAACCCCAAGTCTCTATAAACTTTCATTAAAATTAATGTTATATGCCGTCGAGTCGCTTGCAACTCATAGCAACTTTATGTATAAGAGCCCTAAACGCTGCTCTATCTTGTACTAAACTCGCCGTCTCAGACACACTCATTCCCACCACCCCAATCACAGAATCGACGGTCTTCCTCTCCTGTACCATCCCTCCACCCTCCCAAGCATGATGTTCTTCTCCAAGGACCAGTCCCTCCTTGCAACGTGTCCAAAGTATATCAGATGAAGCTTCAAAATCCTTGCCTCCAAGGAGCAGTCTGTTTTCACTCTCTCCTGGACGAATCTGTTTTCTTGGCAGTCCATGGAACATTCAGTACTCTTCTCCAGCACCACAGCTCAAAGGCATCAATTCTTCTGTCATCACTAGTCACTGCCCAGCTCCCTGATGCATAGCACGTAACTAACTGTGAACACTATAGAACGGGTCAGGCATTAGGGACTTTTATCAAAGTCCTTCACAAGCGTTGAGGACTCTCCTTCATAGGGTTGCTATGAATCGCCTTTGACTCGAATGCACTTAACAACAAAATCAACACAGAGATCAGATGGCCCAGTGGACAGAAAGTCATGGTGGATGACTTTTAATCCGCGGCCCTCAGGCCTATCTTTCATTGTTTTTGTTCAAACATTCCTCTAGGTCATATAGCCCTGGTGTGTCTGGTAACTGTGAGGCTGAACACTGTGACACTGATGTGTCAAATGTGTTAATGGTTGGTCACCTATGGTGGACAGTGTTTGGTGGAGCTCCCCGATTAAAACAAGCTTGGAAGCAGGAGTGGCATCCACTTCTTTAACAGCTTGCCTCCGCAAACCGTATGAACCTGGAGAGAGGTTGAGAGACACACAAGGTTGAGGGCTCTCCTTCAAAGGGTCGCTATGAATCGCCTGCCACTCAAGGTGATTAACAACGATGATCCTTGAGAGGGACACCTGACTCCACGGAGTCCAGCGATCAGGACTGAGACTAAAGGCTCCAATCCTTACCACCTACATGGAGTGATGGTGAGAGGTGGCCCTGAGGTCCCTCTAAGCGGTGGCAGCTGGGTGTCAGGAGTGGGGAACGGCCTCAGTCTTGCTGGCTGCGAAGTGGGCGGGCGCGGCGGGGCCGGTGGGGGGCGCC